TTTTAAGTATTTATATTGAAATATTTTATATTCAGCTTTCGTTTTAGGAATTATTTCATTTCTAAATTTCATTAAATTTTTTAAGTTATGTTTATCTAATATTTATATTTTATTTAATTTCAACTGTATTACAATTACTGAAAATTGGTTTACAAGGACAAATTAACTATTGAAAAAGACATTATAATCTCTAAACAATATAAATATATATCAGTGAATATCGCACATCAGAGCTGAAGTACCTGAAGATTCTGTTGGGGGCATTTCCTTGGTAAGCAATGTTGTTAAAGAAGACTTCAAGCTGAAGATCGTTGTCAAAGTCGCCAGCGATGACGGTGCGAACGGGTGACGGAGTGGCGAAGGCCTGTGTGGAGACGTCCTACAACAACACAACAGACTGATTCATTATTACAGATACAGATTTATATAGACCCATATGGCAAAAAAAATAATCATTCATTCATGTTTTTTAAATATGTTCTAAAGGGTGAATCTATATGATCAAAAAAAAAAATCTAATATATTTAGTTTCCACCTTCTCACTATTTTTATTGAACTATTATATGTTCACATGTGTTATAGACGAGCAAAGTTTTTCTTCAAAAATGATGTGAATGTATTTTCATGGACTGATGATTTATATTTATATTATTAAAATACATTTCCAAATATTTACAAAAAAAACTTGCCCCAAAAATATATGGGTAGAGAATATATTTTCAGAATATATATTTTGAAATGTATTTAACAAATGTATATTTTTGGCCAGTTTTGTATATTTTGAACTATATTTGTAACCTGATTTGTTCTCATAGATTGTCTTACCGCACTGAAGTGCATTTTGTTTTACTGGACTTTGTTGATATTTGAACTGAAAACAATACAAAAATTGTAATTAATCAAAGGCTGTTTTGCTCAGATGTGACTCACCTTGAATCTCTGCTGGACGTCCTGCAGGTAGAGGCGGTGTGGACCGTTCCAGTTGCCGTAAACAATGTCTGTCTTTCCGTCGCCGTTAAAGTCGGCCAGCGCCACACCTCTCCCGTGCTGATATCTGTCTTCAACTCCTGTCATCAAACCATAAAACATAAGTCTGAGGGAGGATTACAAATCAGTACTGTAAATATAAAGTCAGGTTTCTCACCTGCCTCGGCGGCCACGTCTGTGAAAGTTCCATCACCGTTGTTCTTGAACAGGAAGTTGGGTCCATTTTCATTGTCACAAAAAATGTCAGACCTTGTGTCGCTGAGGATTGGACCGACAACTACACCACGGCCACCTTATAAAACAACATTAACACTTTTATAACATTAATATTCCATAACAAGTGTCCCCAGCTAGGAATGTTCTTGTTCTTAGAATGTTCAGAGAACATTATATATGTTCTGGTAATGTTTTCAGCGGCAAGTTTTATTTTAGTTCCC